TTCAATAACAATAACTATACTCATTTTATGAAGATTCATAACAAATTACATTAAGAATAACACTCACGCATTTTCTAAAAACGGAAGAAACAGTCCACAAGCCGATCTGTCGCAAACCGACGCCCACGTCGCGCTCGCATAAGTCAGTCCTTCAGATAAGACTCTCAAGCAGTTCATGTGCATACATCTGTGCAGATCCACCGGATGGGGGAGTCACCCCTTTCACCCACCTCAATTTAATTCACGAATAACGGCGAATGCCTAAACAAGGCCAAAGCGACCGAACGATTTGTTCCCCCCCGTAGCATCAATTTCCCGGCATTCTCCGCCCACTTCTCTCTCTTCCGCATTCACCGGGACTGGTGGAGTATTCAATGTGCGGTGTATTCGCGGATGTATTCGGTGATTCTTGGGAATTCTCGGGGTTGGGGGGGATTCCGGTTGGGGGTGGAAACGAGGGATTTTACATGTGATATTTTACACACCTGTGGGTAGTACATAATATTCGAGACCTTTCGGAGATTTGATGGAGTGTGATGACGGAAGTTTCTTTAATATTAAATTCCACACCTCCTGGATATTATTCCATCATTCGATATTACTAGAGTAAGCCCTGCTCCCCTTGAATTTATGATTTTATATGCTGAATCGACGTAATTTGACCCGTTATTAACGGCCAAATCACTAGAAAATCGCTGTCATAAAGACAAAATTATTCGGGCGTTATGTTATAAAGTGTGATTTTGTCCAATCCCAAAGAAATAAAAAAAATATGAAAATACAAAAAAAGAAAAATGATAAATTAATAAAAAAAATTAAATTAAATTTCCAAACACATTCAAAAATTAATTGCGACCCTATACTTTGGTGATTAATTATTCAGTATAAATTAAGAAAAAAGAAAATGATTTAAAAGTTGAAAAATTCAAAGTTTGTGAGAAGGTATAACCATAGTGTTACCGAAAGTTCATCAACTCTTCAAATGTATTATTCAAACTAAATATTTTATAAGTTATTTTATAAGGCAGTCAAGGTCGCTATCATTTCCCCTATGATTTCGACTATTTTCAAGCAAAGAGTAAAATGTATATTTATTTATATCGACTTTTGCCAATTATATTAAAATTCAGTAATTAAGTGGTTAATCGGTTTAAGTCGACTTAGCTCCCAGTTGAGTTTTTATTGAATAACTCGGAATTTAAAAAAGATAAGAGCGAAATTTTTGTAAGATCTTTCTAATTTACGAATAACGGCGAATGCCTAAACAACGCCAAAGCGACCGAACGATTTGTTCCCCCCCCCCCCCGCTTCGCGCAGCGTGCTTCAAACTCGACTTCTGCACGATGTGGCATAAAATAGTATAGACCACTCGGGCATAAACTTCGTTTTCAACGAATGTGAATACAGACCTCGCCTTCGGCTCGGCCTGTAAACTTCACATTCGTCGAAAACGAAATTTGTGCCCTTGTACTGTAATGTACTATAAGAATTTGATTAAAATTCGAGTTTAAAATTCATTTGCTATTGATTATCAGTGGGATTTCGACTATTACTGACAACGTTGGTTATAGATTTTAAATAGAATTGGAAATTAATTCAACCAGACTGTCAATTGTGCATTTTTTAATTTTCATGTTCACTGAATTCAATTCTTTAATTTTCGCCAAGGAATTTTCGCTGGAACATGTGGTGGTCTACATTTGAATTAAATAACTTCGTGAAGAATGCGCCCATTTAAATGCATCATATTTCACGTTAGCGGTGTATCAGGAAGTGTATTTAGAGATACATTTTTAACGTACGTTCGTTGGCAGCTGGAATAAATATGTGTAAGTGTACATCACGAGCGGGATGGGGTACAGCAGGGGCTGGAATGCATCAAACAATTTTCAATGTCATTTTATTCCTGAAAGCGAGAGAATTTTGAATCCATTCCAGCCGACGATTTCATGAAGAATTTGTAGGGCAGTATTAGATGCTATTATTTTTAGGGGGAAAGATGATATTTTCTACGGAAGTGATATTAAATTAAGATATTTTTATTTTACAGAAACCTTGATAAATATAATGAAGAATTGAAGGATGAAGAATTTAAGATTGTTATTTTTGTAATAAACATATATAAACATAATAGACACGGAATTTCCCAGATTTTTCATTAATTTTCCCGAATTAATTTTCAGAAATTCAACTGAAATTGACAGTTTCCGCCGATTTCTCCATGAAATTAATCATTTTCAATGACAAAATTCCTTGAAATTTCAGTGTGAATGTTACTTTAAAAAATTTGGCTTAATTTCCCGGAAACAGACATTGAATTCGATTCGATTCAAGGGAAAAAAGTCAACGAAATTTCCAGTTTCTCGGAAAGGTCGAGTCCCATTTTTTTGAGCGGTAAGAAAACGGAAATTCTACAATTTACATGAATTTTCCAGAAAAATGAATATTCACTGCTAAATTCCTTTGAATTTTCAGGCAATTCCTTTAAAATGCTTGGAATCCTAGGAATCTTTGAAGAATTTCCCCGAAAATGCAGAAGAATCTGGAATTTCAGAAGAAATTTCTCTGAATTTTCTTGATTTTTCATTAATTTCTCAACTTTACAGTTCCCACGGATTTCTCCATGAACTTGACAATTTTCAATGACAAAATTCCTTGAAATTACATTGGAAAATTTTAAACAGTGTAAATAACGAAAATTGACTACAGAATGAAGTTGTTTAGCCCGAAATTGCGTTACCATCTGAGTTGATAGTAGTTTCATGCTGAACAAAAAAATCTCTATAACAGCCCATGTATAAGAACCGCCTTCAATCGTTAATAACTTGAAAAGGAAAACTGAAATTTTTTTGAAAAATTCATAGACGATTCACCTGTGATTATAAACATTCTATCTGAATTTCAGATGAATGTCATTATTTACCTTTTTTGCAGGGAACACCTTAAAATTATCGAAATCCTCTCATCGATCCCTCAGAGCTCAAATAAATATTGAAAAGAATTCATTTCGCGGCACCGCACCCCGAAATGAGTTCTCCTTCCCCCACACATTCTCAAATCCATTTAAACCTTCCACTCCTCTGCACCCATAAATAATCAACAAATTTATGCCATTACGGAACTAACATAGCCATGACGTTTGCTGTGTCATGACAGGTAGACAGAATATTAAAGTCCATTCATACCTCCGCGGTAGTGAAGAACTACCGGGAAATAACAAACCGCCGCCCTTTCTATTTCTGGCCATGACATTGCTGTCTCGTTCTACAGCACCCACCAAGGAGGCTTGCAGAACAACTGTATACATACATTCACGGCTGTGAAGACCGCCAGAGGGTCCCAAGTGTTTTTTATTCCTTCGTGAAAAAGAATTCTGTCTGGCACAAGGCGGAATAAATTTTTATCCACCCTGGATTTTCCGTAAATCCAACATTATTTATCCACACTTTGTGCACCTCTTTCGACTCTACCTCTGTATTCAGGGTTTTGTCTCCTTGGCTCTCATTAAAATGATAATGCGCCAGTGCATTATTGATGCAGTTTTTCACCACGAATTTCTGGATGATTTTATTCTCCGTTACACTGTGAAAACCGTTGAGAAAAAGTGAATGAAGTATTTGGAGAAAGAAATGAGACGTCAGGAGGTTGAAACAAGAGATCCGCGAGTGAGATATGTAGAATGTCTCGAGCCCCTATTCAATCTCTGAACACGAAAATATTCATTTTTCAAGTAGCGATTTCAGTGTACAATTTTTTAAAAATCAGACTGACTGATTTTTTGCCATCACTTGCGAGGGTCATATTATTTTTATTGCATGTTTTTCTAATTATTATATTAATTTATATTATTTTCGTTCATTTTATTTTTGTCCATTTCCATCTTCACAGTTAGATTAATTCCATTTTCTCCATTCTTATTCTTATTATCTACGTATTTTTTCCTTTATTCACAAGTTACAATGTTGAATGAAGAGGAATTATGTTAAAGCTCAATAAAGTATTTTTTTTGTGGATAATGATCAATATATTTTTCAATGTCACAACTTCATTATTCTAGAATTTCTCTGTATAACTATGATCATCGTTTTCATTTTTGTGTAATAATAATATTTTCGAGTTTCATGATCTCATTTTAACGAGAAGAAATGAAAAAAAAATGCAAAATAGTGTGGACAGGAATAAATAAAAAAATTAATTTCTTAATGTCTTTTATCTTTTCGAATAATGAAAGAATACCCGTAAATTCCTTTGCTATCCTTGTGGTTCGATAGAATGAATATTATAAACGGCAAAAATTAAAAATTGGCGACTAAAGGTTTTATGCGACTATTATTGTGGAGTAATAAAAAACAGAGAATCCATTCGGAAGCAAATGGCTAATTTATTAGCAATAATAACTACAGTCATTTATCAAAAAAATGCAATTATCCACTTGTTTTTTATTGAGATCGAGATCTTGAAAAAATCCCAACAAAATCCCAATGTTGCAGCATATTCCGATATTTTTTCCATGGTTTTTTCATTTTTCTTTCACTGTTCTAACTTTTTGCACGAAACACCTCAACTTCAGACCTAAAAATGATCAAATTTGGGGGAGCAAACGTCTGAAAAAGGCGTACAAAATTCCTTGAATTCCAAACATTAATTTTGTTTAAAATTTATATCATATATGAATGATTTTCCCCCCATTAATGAATAATATGGAAACGAATTGATGTTTTTGGAGACCTGAGGAATTACATTTTCTATTTTCATTGAGATCATGAAGTTTTAATCACCCGGGGCGCTACGAAAATTCATTGAATAATCAATACTCGGATGGAGAATAAACGTGGAAGCTATCCACCTACAGCAAATATTTTTGAAATTTTGATTTACTTTTAATTAACTTTCATAAACTGTGTGCACACATGCAGGGTCAATATTCATCGCGGCAATTTTTATAACGTATTCATAAATATTAAAGGACTGTTCAGGTTCAGGTGAATTGAGACAATAAATTGTTTTTTTTGTTAATATTCCATCACAAAGATTGCTACACTGTTGAATATTTTACAAGAGTCGGTAAATTTTCAGGGAATACACGAGGATGAATTGAAAGGTAAACTAGCAAATTGAATAAGCATTGGGAAATATAACATTTGACGTTGAGAGAGGACTAAATTTATATTTAAGGAATGTTATTCCTCTTTGAGATTCGCTCGATACCATTCACCCAGCACCAGTGCCGGAGTGTTTACTTCTTCAAACCCATACTTTTCTAGGGTTTCCTTGCAGCGCTCGTACCATTCAGCTACGTTGTCATAACGTGCTATATCGAATCCAACCATCTGGAATTTATTCATTCGTTTGGCTTTAGTCGTATCAACGTAACATGATCGAATTGGGGATATAAATGAGTGAATATTGTCTCTATACGGAAAAAGAAATGGTTTCCTGGGAATTAGGTATTTATTGATATCAAGAAACTTGCACACTCTTGGAAATTTTCCACTGGAATTTCCTCATTTCCATTTTGACATTGAAAATTCATAACTTCACGGAAAAATCTCCGGGAACTGTCAATTTCAGTTCAATTATTTCAGGGAAATGAATGAAAATCAGGAAAGTTCAGAGAAATTTCTTCTTGAATTCCAGATTCCTTTGAATTTTCAGGAAATTTGCAAGTGAACAGTCATTTTCACTTGAAAATTCATAGGAATTTCCGTCTTCCTGTGGTGAGAGAAAAAATTCACTCTGCCGAAAAACTATACGTTCCAAGTTAGAGTATTTAACGGAGTGGAACTAATTTACTTGAGAGAAATTAACCAACTTGATAGAAGGAAATTTAATATCTTTCACAAAAATTAAATTTTTGTCGTGATCATCAGAAATATCCATAGAAGAATTCGAACTGTTGGCAGGAAAAAATATAATCTATTGTACGACAATCATTTGATCTGAGAGAACTCCATAGGTTTATACCATAGAAAGAATAAATTGACGAGGAAAGAATATTTTTTTCCCAAAAAAAATTGTCCCCTCGACAATGTTTCGGTGGAAACTTTCTTTTTTGTCCACAAGTAAATTGATTCAACACTACAAAAAATGTAAATTCCTTGAAATTCCAGTGGAACAATAACACAACAAAATTATCCAAAAAGTGTATCTCAAATCCACTCAAACAAATGTAAAAATTTCAACAATTCCCGGAAACAAGTAAAAATTCACTGCATTCATCACGAAATTTCCGCCATATTTTATGCCGAATGTCTCGAAGAATTCTTCAAAATTTTCGTAATATTCAAATAAAATTTCTCACTTCTGCAAAATGTGTGCTGATGGCAATCGAAAAATCGGCAATGGTCAAATGATCGCCAGCGACAAAGTCGTTGCCCTCCAAAAAAGTATTCAAAATTTCGAAAGCCCTCTCAATCCCCGCAATGCTCTCCTCACTAACTTCATCAGTCATTCCGAATATAACTGGAATCTGCAAGTAATTAAAAACCTCCATCAACTTTGGATGACCTGTTACAGCTCGTAAATATGGCTTTTATTCAAACTGGACGCACGTAAGTATTGAAGATTCCCATCCAGAGCTTGGAGATATCAAAGTAAATTCTTTCATCAACTATTCCCTTTTCCTTGGGATCCTTTGGATAGAGAGAATCATTTTTCGCGTATTTATTCACCAGATACGCCATAATTGCTCGACTGAAAAACCATTCGAGCTTTATCAACGTGTTTTCACAAGAATTCTATTTTTCTTTCAGACAAGTTTTGGAGTTCTACCTCTCGGATAAGATAAATCCATGGTCGTCAATAGTTGGTATCGTATGCTGTGGACTTATCTGGAAGAGAATCAAACCTTCTGAATCAACAAACATAGATACTGTTTGGGGGAGGGGAGAGGGAAATGAAGGAAAACATTTACCTTCACGAATTCGGGATCGTGTTGCTCGCCTTTGGTTACGTCGATGACTTTTAAATTGAGGTGAATACCCAGAGCTTTTGCCAGGAGAATGACAGCACGGACGGGTGGACTCAACGGAAAGTAGTACAGGTCAATCGTCATTTCTCTTATTTATCTAAAAAATCGGACAGAATGAACAGCGAAGGAAAAATGCAATTCTGTGTCAGACGCGGGTTTCAAAGGTCTTGAGGGTCAAATGAAGGTCATAAGGGCTTAAATGAGGGCCATAAATTGATGCTTGACCCTCATGTAATCAGCATGATAGTTATCTATAGTATCAATAGAATCATGAGTTTTATGAGATTTTTTTTGTTCATATTTACATTTCGATGAACATTTGGAGCTTTTTAACAGCGTGAACCGGTGGACTAGTAGTACAGGTCAATTGTCTTTTTTCTTATTAATCTACAAAATCAATATTGTTACGGTGAGGTGGGCAGAATGGACATCGAGAGAAAATTGAACTTCTGAGTACAAACCAATTGTCATTTTATTGTAATATGAAACATCCACATTTTTACCACGAGTGTGGCGAAACGCACGGCGAGGGGAAAAAGAACTTTTGAGTCAGACATGGGTTATAAGGACCATGAGGGTCCAATGAAGATCATAAAAATTTCAAGCCTAACACTAATTCCACTCTCACTCCTCAATGTGAATACATTCTGCTCTTCTTCATTAACCAATGAAAAATGCTATTTATTGTTTCTGAATGCACAAATATTTCATCAATACCCATCGTTCATTATAATTTCACGTAATTAAACAAGTTAGTTTGATAACATCACGTCATTTCAATATATAAACCAATGAAAACTAACTATTGAAATTCACATTCAATTACCAGTATCCAATAATCCAACGTGAAACATGGAACTATAAATTACCAACCTGATGATTCAATAGACCGTAATTTCCTGTTGTAAATACTTTTATTCAAATTTTCAACTCTGTAACTCGTTGAGAGCACCAGCAGCAGCAGGCAGTGACACTTGAATGTGCCCGTTCTATTGTTATCCCCTGAGGAATATTGTTGTCTCTATTCGTATTATTTTTTTGCCTCGTACTCTTTATTTTTAAATGGAAATGTGCATCGAGGAATACATCGCGGAGTGAAACGTTGACGGAATGAATTCGCATTGTTTTCCACCCCTCGCCCCCCCCCGTCCAAGCATCAAGAGAGGGTGAAATGTAAACGGCTAGTGCAAGTGCGCAAGCCAACTGAGTTCCGCCAGCGTTACCATGACGATGTGTTTCGAAACAATGAGGTGGAAAAAATTGCACAGAGACGCATAACATTTCATGATATTACTGGAAGGTCTCGATTTATCGACTGCACATATGGTTATTTAAAGATTGTAGTGTTGTCTATGGAAAGACAAGTTTTCATTCATGTGAATGATTTTTTTTATTAATGACCTTCTAACTTTAATGACCTTCATGACCTTCAAAAGGCTTTCATGAACTATATACGACCTTCACGATTCTGGTGTTACCGTATTAACCTTCGTAAAAGCCATATGAGGCCTGTTTACAATCTATATGACCCTCATATGACCTTCATGACTTCATGTAACCCGCATATGACTTCATATAGTCCCCGTCAGCTCGTTAGAATCATCTGCATTGTATTTTGATACCCGCTCCTGCACTCGGGCCCCACAAAAACATTCACATTTTGTCTGACATCTTCGGTATGAACTCTGGAATAGAACTCTAAATCCAGAGTTCAATCATGTTTATCAAATTTAATTCCCTGTTTCTTAGAACCACCAGTTTCTTACATTCAGTATCTTGGCTCTGCAAATCTGAAACTTTTTTTCGCCGCATTCTAATTACTACACCTGCCTCTCTCATCGGACCCTCGAGAGCTGGATCCTTGAGATCCTTTAGATCATCTTCTTGTGTGACCTTCAAGAGTCGTAACAACATTTCTGAGCCACTCTCACAGCATGGACATTCAGCAGTGGGACACCTTGTGCATGCACGTGGCATATATGCTACATATATTTTATGTACATGGAGATTATATGTTATGGATATTGAGAACATACATAACAACATATATCTCGCCTATATTTCCACTGCATATATAAGCAGTATATAATCGAATATTTATGCAATATATGTGGAATATATTTTACATCTAGGCCACTTATAAATGACTTATATTTTACGTATATTTCAGAATATATTTTTGAATATATGACATATATACTACATACAGCATTTTTGGCCGAACTATATGCGCTATGATTACGATATATGTCACACGGAGAGAAATTTTTGATAAAAATTATCTTACCGTTCTGTAAAAGTGTATCATGAGTCATCGTTTCTTCATTTCTATCCCGAAATTTAGTAAAATTAATATATGATGATCAAATTTTATTCTACGTTAGAGAAATTTTATCGTGATAAAAATAAAAATTACCGTGCCGGTAGCGTAAAAATTACTGTACCGGTAGGGTAAAATTGACCAATCGTTCTAGAATTTTTGTTGTTATCTACATAAAAATTACTGGACTGGAAGGGTAAAATTTGTTATGCGTGAGGATAAAATTTCTCTAACGTAGAATAAAATTTGATCATCACATATCAATTTTTACGAAATTTCGGGATAGAAATGAGGAAACGATGACTCATGATACACCTTTATAGAACGGTAGGGTAATTTTTATCAAAAATTTCTCTCCGTGCACATATATGTCTACATTTTTTTCCGTGCGGGATACATACAGGGCAATCAATTAAGACCCGTCGAGTTCAGTGTTGATTGCATTTCTCGGCAATAATGTAACACGATATAAAATACAGTTGGCTAGTTTGAGAGCACATTTGATAATTGAATGCGGAAACAGCTCCAACCACCGAATAGAGCGCCCAATGCCAGCAACAATTCATGTATGTTGTGTTGCCACTGCCGGTAAACTGACCTCACTCACACACACACACACGCACACATGTACTGGGTAAATGATAAAGAGGGCTATAGCCAGTCGGTCTCAAAACCGAGTGCGAGGGAAAGAGTTTAAATCATGATTGGTGATTAAAGTGAAACTCCCGGTCGTGCATCATCCAACGATTGCACGCATTTCGATGTGGTCTATGGGGCTCACATTTAACGCACGTAATCGACCGATATTTACACAGTTACTGTTTCCCATATTAATCTATTGGTGCAATAGCCTGCATTCAACATTCATCTTCCACGGAGAAATTATTACGAAAATCAAAATAATTGATTTGGAAATTATTTTGAATTTATTTTTTTTCCTTCAAATGACAATAGAAAATTTATATCGCGTGAAATCAGTGGATCCAATTGCCAAAATCTCTAGTCAACTTTTTCACCGATCGATTTAACGCATGGTAACAGGTGCACGCAAACAGGTGGCACCACGGACCAATTGCCCTGAAATATAAATGAAAAAGCCGAGATTCAAATGGGCTTTCATTTGACAATGGCGAATAAATGCCAGTGAATTTATGATATGTTATAAATATAAGTTTCCACGCTGGTGTGTTATAAATTTTGGTGCACCATGGTTATCAGCAATCATAAAAAGAATAAAAATAAAAAGAATGTAAATGTAAACAGTGAGTTACATAAAGTAAATATGACTACGGGTTTTTCCAAAAAAGAGGATAAGAGGGAATTCGAAATTTGTTGATGTCAGATTTGATGAATGAAATCTGATAAACAAACGGACAATTGCATCTTTTTTATAAATGTAGAGTTATTGTTGCTAATGAATTAGCAATTTGTTTCCGAATGGGTTCTCTTTTTTTATTGTTAATTCACTATTCTCCTCTTCGATTTTTTCATGTCATAGCACTATCATCAATTGAAATGTCACCAAAATTTTGCGAATTATTTCGTTCTATCGAATAATTCTACATTCAGACCCTCTCAAGACTCGAATTCGTTTTCAGTCCGGGTTTAATCAAGGTTTGATCAGTGTATAGCCGGGATTTAATCAGGGTTTATTCAGGATTTAACCAGACTTTAACCCAGGTTCTGTCAGAAGTTAGTCGGGACCATGAATCAATATGAATAGGTATTCAGCCTAATAGAATGGTGCCTGAGTTTAATAGAGATAGAGATTTTAATATAAAAAGCTCATGACGGTATTGTGTAACTTGATGAGCAATGATGCTGTTCTCACAATTTTTCCACTTAATTAAGAAGGCATTTAAATATACTCCTCAAGCCCTGATTTAATTGCTATTACTGATGATTCTTTCAGTAATCATAACAAAGCCGATTTTTTCTTTCAAATCGCATAAACGATGTGCTGTAACTCAACAACGGATTTTGAAACCCCCATCAAATTCTGATAAAATCAAGAGGGTATTGTCATCAATTTTTTGAGCCATGACTAATTCCATTTTGATGACAACTTTTTGAGTGATCGTGGAAAAATCGATTTTTGGAAAAATATCAATTTTTTCGAATCTGCATGAAAAATTGAATTGTAATTGGTATCAATGGATAGAACTTATCAGTCTGTATTCATGGAAAAAATTGATTAAATTCGATTGATCCGTGATAAGAAAATATCCGTTCGGAAGCAATAAACATGAAAATCATGAATACAATATGAATAAAATGCCTTTACGAAAATATAATTGATATAATCAAGTATTGGCACTCGATGAGAAAGAGGGAGGGACAATATAGATAGTACTCCGTCGTTATACTGCCTTGATTTACCGGGCTCGACCTGCGAGGGGAGTGGGCAATGCTCTAAATCGTGATAGTCTGGCACGATCCTCTCTCCCCCAAACCTACTATTCCTCATCCCCTCACGTATACCACTCATTTCTATCCCTTTGTACCGATTGCATCGCGGCCAATCGCCATAACCATAATTTCCCATCATCTGCAATTATTTTCAATATCCACGTTTACTCCATTTTTTTATTCACCCGTTGAAAATCTTTTTTTTATTCCGCGAAAAATGTCGTTATCTTGATGGGTCATGCGCAATTCTGAATATATCTTTTTTTATGGAGAGATAAAATTGATTCACAGAGCGATAGAAAAAGAGAAACAAATGTAAAAAAGTTTTATTGATTTTTTTCCTATTTATTTCTGTTTTCTTGACGCATATATGAAGCTTGCGGCCTTCATATGACCTCTATGACCCTCACATAACCTTTATATGACTTTATACAATTCTCATGAGATCTTTATGGCCCTTCTATAACCTTCAGAATTTTCATATCCCCTCCATGAACCTCATACGACCCTTAATGCTGTCATATGACGTTCACGACTCTCATAAAACCCTCATGACACCTGTTTATGACTTTCATTACCCTGATAAAACCCTGATGAAACTTTCTGAAGACCTCCATGACCCTCACATAACCCTTATGTGACCTCGTATAAACCTCACGAAACCTTCATATTACCCTCACGCCCCTCATATAACCCATGGCCCCCATCTAAAACTCATGACCCTGATACGAACCTCATGAGACCTTCATTTAACCCTCACGACCTCCACGTAACCCTCATGAGACCTTCATCTAACCCTCACGACCTCCATGAAACCCTCATATGACTTCGACACAATTTTTGGTGCTCTGTTTTTTTTCCACCAAATTTTTCACGCATTCCAAATAATAATTCCGTAACCCCATAATTATTCGGTATTCACTCGGCTTATGAATTTTGCAGGCATTTAATTTGTAGAACACGATGAAAATCGGCTTAAACGCACTGATATACGGTAGGAGGCCAGGTTGAGAAGTGAGTGATAACGAGGTATATACATACACTTTTGACGTTGTATAAGTGGAATATAAACCGAGGGATGAAAATCATGTACACAATTTACCCTGCCCTCCCCTCCCGCCCTTCCCCCCCCCCCCCTCCATAAACGCTACTTTACTATGCCTGGCATTCCAGCGTCAAAAAATTGTACGTAAACACGTTTCAGCCATGAAAATAACTCGAGAAGGAAAGGGGGAGAATAAAACGTGAAAAACACCTGAAAAAAAGAAAAATATTGAGTCATATTTTTTTTCTCTTGGTCTGTTCTATTCTGTTCTGTTATATTTTTTTTACTCTTTCCCGTGTTTCATTCATTTTTCTTCCACTCTCAACCTGAAAAAGAGA